TGGTGGTAGTAGTGTCTCTCCCTCCACACACACACATGCACACTCAGACTCACACACACACACTCACACTCTCACACACACACACACATGCACACTCACACACACACACACACTCACACTCTCACACACACACACACACACACACACACACACCACCCACACACACACACCAATATTCAAGAAAGAATGCACACACTTAAGGCACCACAGAGCTTGTATCAGGAATACACCATTAGGTTTGGACACATATACTCTCTCTCTCTCTCTCTCAGTTCACTGATAGTCAAAAGGGAAATCACCCAGTTCATAAAACACAGAACTCGTATCAGGAACATAGCCCATCTCGCTTACATTTTCATTCAAATCCTCCAGTTTGGCATGGATCAGGCTTCTTTGTGGGTGTGATTTGTTCCCTGCTGTGAATGCATGAACTTGGTTTCTTATACAAATCCAACTGCTTCCCGGATCCTTCTTCAACCCTCTATATCTTATCATCAATCTCAACATTTTCGCAATGTTCCAATGGCCAGTGGCGGCATAAATATTTGATAACAATACATAGTTTCCAGCATTATCCGGCTCTAGCTCAAAAAGCTTAGTAGAAGCCCATATTGCCATCTCAATGTTTGGATAAACCCTGCAAGCCCCAAGTAAGGCTCTACATAGAGAGGCATCAGGCTTAATGGGCATTGACTCAATGAAATTTCTAGCTTCATCGAGATGGCCAGCACGGCCAAGAAGATCAATCATGCATGAATAATGCACAACTTCATGCTCAATTCCATAATCTCGAAACATTGATTCAAAAAATTCCCATCCTTTCTTGATTAAACCTCCATGACTGCACGCAGAGAGAACTAAAACAAAAGTAACCCCAGTTGGTCTCAGTCCTTCTTTTTGCATTTGAGAGAAAAGAGAGAGAGCCATATCAATATGACCATGCATGCCATAACAAGCAATCATGGCATTATAAGAGATAATATCTCTTCTTACCATCCTGTCAAAGAGCTTCTTAGCATGTTCCATGCTACCTGACTTGGCATACATGGTTATAAGTGCATTATCTATGGAAGCATTGGTTTTGGAATCTAACCCACACCTAAGAAGGTATGCATGTATGCATTTCCCATGTTGCAAAGCTGCTAAAAGGGCACAAGAAGGAAGAACATTGATCATGGTCACAGAATTGGGTATCGGTTGTTTTTCCTCAATCATTGAATGGAAGAGAGAAAGAGCATCTTTTGGGAGGTCATTATCTACATAGCCTGCAATCATGGCATTCCACATGACTACATCTCTGGTAGAGCTTGAACGGCTCTCGAAAAGAGCTCTAGCCATGTTTGGATCACCACAATTCATGTACATATCGACAAGTGCAGTCCATAATTGCGGGTCCCCTTCACCAAACCCATGTCTAATTATGTGGGCATGGACTGATTTCCCAAGACTGAGAAATGGTTCATCTGAAAATGCCTCAAGAATGGCAACCATTGTGAAGCAATTGGGCTTCAAGTCTGTGATCTCTAGTTCCTTGTAAAGATTCAGGGCCACTTTGGACATTCCTTCACGAGCATAAGTAAGAATAACTGTGTTCCAAGATACTATATCAGTCTCTCTCATGTTAGTGAACAAAGAGAGAGAAGCTTCTAAGCAATTACACTCGCCATAGAGGCTTAACAATGCATTTCCAATAAGGACATCAACGTCCATCCCACTCTTGATCACGTAGCCATGGATGGCTTTACCATTATCTAAACCTCTAGAGTAAGAAAAGATGGTGAACATAGATCCAAATGTGGCTGAATCCCCTTTTATGCCCTCGACTTGCATCTTAGTAAAGAGGCTGATGGCTTCTTCATGGCATCCCCAATGTGTATATGCCGAGATCATGGCATTCCAGGAAGCAATATCTCTAGATTGCAACCTGTCAAAGACCTGGCACGCCGATTTCAATTTCCCAGACTTAGAATAAAAATTGATCAGCGAAGTTTCTATGAATTTGAGTCCTTGAAACCCATGTTTTATACCAAGTTGGTGAACTTGTTCACCAAATTCAAAATTTTCCACATCCAAGCAAGATTGCAAAACAGGCAATAGAGTCGCAGTGTCCACTGAAAAATCTGATAATTGCATAGAAACAAAGAGCTTCAGAGCTTCAAAGGCCATTCCAGAATTAGTATACCCATTTATCATTGCATTCCAAGTAGCCACACTCCGAACTCTCATTGAATCAAACACAAATCGAGAGATAAAGATGCAGAGCCTTGCATAGAAGCAAATCAAAGCAGTACCTAGATGAATATTCGATTCAAATAACCCATTTCTCAGACTGTAACAGTGAATCTCTCTACCTCTCAGACTGTCACAGTGAATCTCTTTACCTCTACTATGCTCAAGAAGTTCATTGCAAGCTAAGAGAAGAAGGACCAAAGTCACTGAATTGGGTGTTTTACCATCTCTTTGCATCTGTGAGAGTAGTGTAAGTGCTTCATTGGGTTTATGGTTTTTCATGAATCCAGAAATCATGGCATTGTATGAGACAATGTCTCTCTCATGAATTCCATTGAACACTTTTCGAGCTTCATCATGAAGGCCAGAATTACAGTAGAAATCAATGAGAGAAGTAGCAACATGAATATCTTTGAGGAAAGATGAATATTTGGGGTCAAAATGGATCCTTCTTCCGATTTCGAGAGCCTGTAAATTCGAACAGGCCTTGAGAACAATGGGGAGAGAAGAGCTATCGACTGTGATGCCCAACTCTTCAATTTCTTTGTATAATTTTAGGATCTTGGGATCGTTTCTTTCCTTTGCCAGGCGTTTAAAAATTGGGTTCCATTTTTTTATGTCTTTTTTGTGGGTTTTACTGGCCAGAAAGCTTGGGTTTTGCAAGGTTATGGCAATGGAGCTCTCCATGAGAGAGAAGTTTGTTAACTAGATTATTTTGTAGTTAGCATGATAACACGGTTAAGAACGTAGAGAGGGGGAAAGAGAGGAAAAGTGTCGAAGAAACCATCTACCTTTCGACCTTGTTACAAGATGGTGGCAATTAATTTTTAGGTCGTGTTAGACTTATTTTATTTATTTGTTATATTTTAAAAACAAATCTTTAAATGCAACTAAACTATCAAATCTCGTGTTAGGCTTATTTTATTTATTTATTATATTTTTTAAAAAAATCTTTAAATACAACTAAACTATCAAATCTCTAACCTTTGTATGGTAAATACTCTCATTGCATACAATCCCAATAGTTTAATTTTGGATGGTCTTCTATTTTGGATCTTGTGAATAATTGTGGGTATTTCTCATTTGAAAAGATGTAACTTTGAATGCCCATGACCATAATGTTATCATATGATAATGTCGATCAGAATGTAGTGTACGTTCTGTTTGTTAATAAATATCGGAAAAATTATGCACGGACAAGGTCTCATGGTGCTTATTACGGTATAGGTCATATTTTGTAAAGATTACACCAAGATCACTTATACCTCCTACTCTTTTCTTTTTTCAGAATTGCCTACATTTCCAACACCTGATAGGTCAAAAATCTTGCAAGTTTTCAGCTATCTTTATAATAAGGGTCTGTCTGATACTACAAAAACAAAAAATAAATGTTGTTTGGAGCTTTTAATGACAAAAAACTCAACTTCCTAAGTCGTCAAACTCAACTTCCTAAGTCGTCCGATATTAGAAAAAAACATAATATTTATTATCGTAAATATACTTTAACTTAAGCTTAATTAGAAAAAAACCCGACTTTTGTTTATTTTGTCTGCATTATTTTTTCTCATTTTCAATTTTTTTTTACTAAAATGACCTTCATGGTAGTTGTATTACCGTAATAATTAGTGCATGTTTTATGGTTCTCTAAGGACCGTAATACTTAGGGAATTTTATACGATTAAATTTTAGTATCGTAATATTGAGGGTATTTTATACAGTATTTTAAGTACCGTAAACTTACATAACCATTATATAGTATTTTAAGTATTATATGGTACTTTTTGTACCGTAATACTGAGGGCAATTTATCACGTTACTTTAAGTACAGTAAACTAACATAATCCTTATATCACATTTTAAGTACTGTAAACATTAACCCATGTTATATGGCATTTAAAATACCGTAAACCCTTTTCTCATTATATTTATCTCTTTCATCTCTAATTTTTTTTATGTTTATTTAATTAATTTTAATAGTTATCTTTTCTTTTTCTATCTAATTCTTTTTATCTCTTCTTTCTCTCTCTACAATCTTTTCTTTTCTCTTTACAATCTCATCATCGTTTCTTTAGATAGAGTAATCAAACACTGACTTCGGCCATGCAAAACAGAGGACTTGATCTATCTAAGGAAAATATCATGAGATAGTAGAGAGAGAAAGAAGAGATAAAAAAGAATGAGAGAGTGAAAGAAGAGATACATATTAAAAAGAATTAGAGAGAGAAAAAAGAGATAAGAATTAGAGATAAAAGAGACAAACATGAGAAAGGGATTTATGGCATTTTAAGTACCATATAAGATAAACATAAAAAAAAATTAGAGATGAAAGAGATAAACATGAGAAAAGGATTTATGGCATTTTAAGTGCCGTATAAGATGGGTTAGGTTTTATGGTACTTAAAATGCTGTATAAAATGGGTTAGTTTTTACTGTACTTAAAATGTCGTATAGTGGGTTTTAGTTTTTACGGTACTTAAAACATCGTAATTAGCTTCACGGTCATGGCCAGAGTTTTACGGTACTTAAAGTACCATAATATTAAGGTGTAGATGAGGTAAATGAAAGTTTGGGGTTTTTTTTTTCTAATTAAGCTTCAATTAAGATATATTTACTATAATTTCCCTAATTATTATTATCTAAAATTTTATTATTTGATTAATATAACATAATTTATTTATGGATATTATTATTATTTAAACTAATTACAAACATTAAATGTGTATGCTCAATTTTGGTAGTACCTAAGAGGCCCTTGCTAGTAGAGATGGAAGAAAACTTGCGGTATTTCCCACCTGTCTGTGGTTGAAAATGTCCGATAGGTGGGTAATTCTGAAAAAAGAAAAGAAAAGCGGGTGGGTGGTGTGATCTCCGCGTAATGTTTACAAAACTCTGACCCCATAGTATATTTAACGCATTGAGAAACCTTCTGCACGTAATTTTTCCTTAAATTTAAATACACGTTTAACACTTTGTAGTACACTTTCTATTACCCAAGCATAGTTCAATTACAGTCATATAACATTTTTTTTTGGTTTTTTGAATGTTTATAGTCATATAACATCTTGGGATAGAATAAGGAATTCGCTTGAAATTTTGGCTCGGTTTTCATGTACTTTCTACGAAAAATATAATTTGCTTGCTTTCGTCATTTGCATGGAAATGCATTAAGTGCAGGAGAAGATGGCAGGCAAATAAAACAACAAAAAATTGGATTAGACTCCTTTCATAATATCATGTCTTGCCAAAAGATTGTACGCTGCTGTAGAAGGGCAAGCTAGATTCACTCCCTTGGGTAAAACTTCACTTAAGGGTATTTTTAAGACCTTAAATTTTGAGATGAGGTTTGCATAAGACATCAAAGTAAGTTGCACCTTAAAAACCCACCGAAAAAAAGCTGTTCCGATGCGGAGAAACTTTTAAATTGATTATCTCGACCTCAAGATGTTTGAATTTGCAAAAAAAAAGGTTAAGCCTTAAAAATATTGCCTCTTATAACACATTCGATGGATGATCTATCTTTAATAAATTTTAAGTGTTTATGGATCCGTTCAATGTACGTAATTTTTTAAGCTTTAACTTTTATACAAAAAAAAAAAAGATTTCCTAGTTATTACAAAAATATTTGGCACCAAAACTACATCAATGGACAAAATTTAGAGATGTGCCTTACTTTGATGGTTTAAGGTTGACCCCTTGTATAAAACCACACGTCATCTCCTTAACCTACAGCCAAACTTAATAAAAAAGGGAAAAAATAAGGCAAAAGTTTATATAAGGATGCAACCTTATAATGTAGAACTACGGATGCACCTCAAAAATCCATTGGAAAAGGTAGTTTTAATGTTGAAAAACCTTTGGATTGATCATCTCGACATTGAGATGTATCACCATGAAAAATAAAAATATTTTAAGTCTCACAAACAATGCATTTTACAACATATTATCTACACCGTCTATTTTCAAGAGTTTCATATGTTTATAGATCTACTT